GCATCATAACTCAATTATTTATATGTTTTAATAGTAACTCAATTAATTGTATCAAATAATTGTATCAAGAATCTATGAATTTCAGCAACATGTATATCTAGGACTACTTAACCTAAATCTCTTAGATTATAATAATAAGGAAACAATCAATAGTCTTCTTTAGAAAAGAATTTATATTCTCGATAGTAATAAAAAAAGAGAAAAGTTTTTTTAAAGAAAAAAATAACTTGACAAGAAGTCAAAACTTGTTTCATTAAAATTTTCTAAAAAGAAAGTTTTTTAAAAAAGTAAAGGAAACAGGAAAGAGTTTTTTTTTTTGCTAATTAATAATTATTTTAAATTTAACTAATCAAATACTATTAAATATTAAAATAAATTTATATTACTAATATATTACATAATAATCAATATAAATAAAACTATTTTTAATAAAATGTAATCAAAACAAAATTATATTACTAATAATTATCATTACTACAATTAACAATTCAAATAATTATAATTTTAATAACAAATAATATCAACTATTCTATTATCTATATTAATAAAAGGGTCTATAGTGTAGTGGTTAACACTTTACAGGTCAAATTACAAGATATCAGTTCAATCCCATATGAGGGCAGTTGAATAAAATTAATATGGTATCTGGTGCCATAACCAGTATAAGCGCTGTTTCTTATGAGAAGCCGTTTCACACACTGATCTAGCAGGTATTGAGATTGTGATTTCCAAAAAAAGTGTCATGGCATGACGATTGTTCAGTTGGTATTACAATGATCACTGAAAGTTGTAAGGTGTATAAGATGTCTGCTTTCGATAAAGATGGCTTAATTATTATTTCCTTGTGATACCTGGTGTCTTTTTCTGCAAGTTTTTAGAAAGGTCTTATTCCAATCCAGTAATAGATCACTCTGACAGTTACCTATCTCGAGAAGGTAGCCAAAACAGCAGTAAGTACTGATAGCTGAAACAATCTATGGGCCATAAATCTGTGAAATAAGTTCCTTGAACGTTTTTGGGTAGCTCTAGAAAGGTGGAAATTAAATGGTACACCTATTTGCAGGTGGTTGTATTTAGAAGGATTCTCTTTGCAGTAGTTCTATTCGCCAAAAATAGGTACTACCCCCAGTTTACTACATTCAAACTTCCTCTTAAAAAATTTCACAATGCCAAATAGAACATAATGATATAATAATAACACTAATGGATCTTTGGCACATTAGCCTCAGCACAACTCCTCTGGAGTAATGCTGACAGCAACAAGCTGATATGAAGTAAAATTGATATAGTCTAGTGATACGTAGAATTGTTTATAGATAGTAGTTCCTGTAATATATGAAATACATATGTGAATAAAATAATAAAGTACGCTAGGCAAGGTTTAGTTGGTTAAACATAAAAAAAAAAAAATCTATATTAATAAAAAACATATTTATAAAAGAAAAAGTCTAAAGATATTTTATTTATTAATTGTTTTTTTATAAAAGGATCTAAAGATACTTTATATATTAAATCTATACGTGTATCGCAACTTAGCCCTTCAAAAAAAAAAAAGATACTTCTTATATTTTTACTAAAATTTTAAATAAAGTATCAAAATGATACTATTAAAAACTTTAGTTTTTACTCTATATAGGACCAAAAAAATTTTTATGTATTAATTATTTTATAAAGAAAAAATCCAAAAATGTTTTATTTGTTAATTAATTTTCTAACAAGATATAATTTTTGTTTTTACAAATTTTATAGTTTATTTGATTTTATTTTAATTTTAATTTCAATTATTTCAATTGTTTTCTCTTAATTATATTTATTTATTTTTTTTAATATTTCTATATTTTTTAAAATTACAAAAAAATTTTATAAAATTTTCTGAATAAATAATATAACTGCTATTTAAATATAATTAATATATAATATTGTTTTTAATTTTTTTTTAATATTAACTACAGTGGTTGTAGAAAAGATCTGGACTTTTCTTATGACTAATAAAAAACTTGTAAAATATATTTTATTTGTATAAAAATTCATAAAAATAATAACAATTGTTATAAAATATATATATATAAATATTAATAGTCAGATTTTTTTCTCTTCCTCTTAATTACTTATTCAAAACAGTTTTTTATACTACTTGCTAAATTAAGGTAAAGATCTTGATCTAAACTATTCCATTCTTTTTAAATAATTGACTAAAAATTAGTAATACTAAGTTTTTTTTTTATATAAATTTATTGTTTATGGTTTTCTCTACTTTATTTTTTAGTATGGCTTATAGATTCTCTATAGGATTTAAATCAAACAAATTCAAAGGCCAATTGAGCATTTGAACATAGTAATCTTCGAAAAGTCAACATGTAACTTGAGCCATATGGATAAAAGAGTTGTCCTACTGGAAACATTAGCTATAACCTGCTTGTAAAGTATTAGGAAAAAAGTGAGTTTCATAGTATTTTTGTGAGTTAAAATTTTCTGTAAATAAAACTAATACAATTGGCTCCCATGCAGAAAACACTTTCTATATATGAATTTTAAATATGTATTTATTATACTATAGTGTGAATACATGTTTCTATAACAATACCTTACTTTTTATGTGTTTCTGAATATTTGTAGTATTGTTTTATCAAAAAAAATCATACTAGATCACTTGTCTTATACATGTTTACGAGCCTAATCAAGACAGACAGCAATGTGGGAGTATTGGAAAAAAAAAATGCATAACGGTCAGCAAACAATATATTGGAGGTTCTTTTTATGAATTTTCTGAATAGTATGAACTGATATATTTAAGTTGAAATAAGTTTTATTAAGTTTGGCAATTGTTTTAGTAGCAGTAACTATATTATTGGCTCATATGAGTTGCCCAAGATGATGATGCTCTTTTGATATAAAAATTTTGGATTTTTCAAAAATAAAAAGTGAAACAAGTATTTTTTTTTTGAGTTAATTTATATAATTATATGTTATACTCTTTGAAAAACTTGTAATTCATATGATTTCAGCAGATTTTCTTATACCATTATTCCATAACTGCCTTATGATTTTTCTTTGTATAGCAAAATTAATATTAAATAATATTAATTACATCTAGTACTGATTTAATAGCTTAAAATAGTCAAGTTATTTATATAAATCAGTATGCATGAGTTATTTAATATAAATAATCCATTTCAAAAATGGATTTAGCCAAAATTTAGTTGTTATTACACTTTTTTATATAATGAAACAAAAGTCTGTATCTTTTTTGTGACTACTGTAAATATATATACATAAGTAAACTAATATTTAACTTGTTATTTTTTATATATAAAAAAAATATATATTTTTTTTTTCAATGACTGGCGTACACCTTGCTTTATTAGGTTTATAAAATTAGCATGTACAAATCTGTTTTATACAAATTTTCCCACTATGTTTACCTGATAAAGCTACCTAAGCAAAATTATTCCTAACTACCAGATGGCTTATTGCCCTCTATTCTTTCTATATTATCAGCACCAGGATCCTAATAGTATAGGTAAAGTGCTAATGTGCCAGGATGTGTGCCTTCCAGTCCCACCCACTATCCGATGAATAGAAACTCAAAGAACCATATCCTAAAATGGTTAGCCGCGAACTAGCCATATCCAACAAGGAGTCTTTGTGGCTCTAGCTAGGTCTCTTAAAAAATTGGGGTTTTTTTTTATAGTCTCATGGATTATAGGAGTAAAAAAGCGTGCTCTATGTATGAGTATCGGGGAAAGCACCAAACTTGACAACGATTATTGTAACACTGCCAGATGATCGTTACACTGCTATGCCTTTCTTGGTATTACAATCCTAACACCTGTTGAATCAACGTGTGAATTGGCTTCTTATAGGAAACAGCGCATATTAGGTTATAGCGTCAGATATCATCTTGAGACGGTCCAGTTACCTTCACCTGGAACTGAACTTGGTATCTTGTGACAGCGATCAAAAGATGCTGATCTTCTGCCTCCTGGTTTAAGGATCCACATTAGTCCCTTGAAGGATTTGAACCATTATCTTAAGATCTAACTTGCAGAGCACTAACCACTGTGCTATAGATCCACAGGTCTTATAAAAAATATTATTATTATTTTTTTTAATGACTAGTATTGTGGGAGTGGATAATCTTGGCGAGGCGTTTGATTTGACCGAAATAAGTAATTTCTCTTTATTAATTTTCTTTTGTCATCACTATCTGCTTCCTTTTATTTTAAAGAATAAATGCTAACATTTTATACTTTTTTATAAGGAAAGTTTAAGAACAATTTAGAAACATAATGAAAGGTAAGGGAATTTCTACTACTTTCTGGCGCTATTATCTAATCTAACATTAATTACATCATTATTATTTCGTTACAAGCGCCGGTTTCAGATCTATTTTTATCTTCCTTTTCTTTTCGCGATCCCGTATCGATCATCGGTCACGTGACCTTAATCGCATTACTATTGTTTTTATTCTTCCTCTCACAACTCCCCCACGCCTATCTTATGCGTCCCATGCATTAATATTTCCACTAGGCGTGTGTCTGTCATCATATTTCATTTAGTGATGGCCGATAGGTTATTTATTCGCTGGGTTGTTGGTAGTCGGTTGTTGGTTGTCGGTCGTCTTCTTTTTCCACTTGTGTCTTACTCCACGACGTAGTAAGCGGGTTAACTTTATCAGGCGATAATGTGACATAGCTATCATTGCAATTCGTGCCATCGACGTAGCAAGGATGCTTACTTCTCTCCCAATTTTTCACAGGGTCCTCCAGCGGACTAGATCATGATGAATTTCGATGCAGCATGTGACGTGTTGATGAGGTTGTTTGGACTTCTGCTTATAAGCACACATTGATATAGGTGTGATCTTCCGTGGGTACATTATCGCGGTTCCTTGATCCTTCTTTTGTGTCTTCCATCGCCTTCTTTTTCCAATTCGGGAACTATTTACCAAGTTGGTTTGCTTTGTCGCAGGTTGAGCGCATTCCAGGTCGGGTGTAGCGTTATATCCTCCTGGATTACGACAATCTGTTAGGGCTAATTGTACTTTGGGACTGGTCAGGTTGAATGTCGTCGCGGTAGTATACGGGTTTCCGAATTTATTCTTCTCCACCTTTCTGAAGGTGTGTCGTAGCATGTATCCCGATGTTTCATTACTGGCGTCCTGTTTCACGTCATCTTGGGCAGCCATAAACTCATCGTAGGGTAGCCCTTGACCCTTTTTCACTTCATAGTTTTCTGTGGCAGTTCTTTCAACCTTATTCATATGGTCTCCCACTGGTACAACTTCTCTCTGCGGCTCGGGGCATATACCTTCATCCTGATCCCCTTCTGCGACATCACGTAGTGGCATACCTTCGGGTTGATCCTTCGTTCCCTATTGATGATGCTTTATAATTGGGTCTTGTGTGGCTATTCTATCGATTTCTTCCAGTTTGCCCTCTTTTATTCGTTCGTTGTTGTTTCAGTATTTTGCATTCTCTTGAGTAAGTGGTGTTTCATCGTAGGTAAGTTCTCGAGATTCATCCGTTGGGTTATCAGTTCCTTCCTCATTGATCGGGACTTTATCGTAAGTGGCTTCTGTGGTTTCGTCAACTAATTCTGTTGGCGTAATAGAGTATTCATCCAAAGTTCCTATAGTTTCTTTGTCATTATTATTTTTTAATTCTCGCGATGGTTTTTCTTTATCATGCGAGTCAGGGCTTTTTCCTTCGTCACTTCGCTTTTCGGACTCATCAATGATATTGTCCGTGGCACAGTTTAATAGGGCTATACCTTTACTTCCAGTTTCCTTACTGTTGTATCCTTTTTCGTCGCTTTCTCTGTTGCTTCCTCCTTTCTTGCTTTCTTTCTCATCACTTGTTCCATCATTTCCCTTAGATAGCCATACTGACGGGTATGCGGTGGAGTCTGGGATACATATTCAAGGTCTGCTGGAAGTGTCAAAGACTTTCTTGATACTGCAGCCTCTTCCAACGGTGCTGGCGAGGTTCGTCTCTTCTTTTGGTACAGGTACATTGTAATTTGTGTTCTCCACCCCTAATGCAGCTTTGATCACCTCATAGATACTAGTTGCGTTCCTAACGGCAAGCGTAGACGCTATTTTCTTTTTTAAGCCATTCGTGAACAGCTCTATCACATATCTTTTAGGATACTTCTGTTCGGGGTTAGCCTTTTTTACTAACTTCCGAAATTTACAGGCGTAGCTAACTACCTTTTCGTCCTCTCTCTGCCTTAGTTTGAGCAATTCTGCTTCCCACCGATGCTGTTGCTCGAGCATCATGAAATGCTATAGGAAGGTTGGTATAAAGCTTCCTTTGTCTTCATGCTCGTTCCAATAAATAAACCAGTCCTGATTGTTTTCATACCAGTTTTTGGCGTCCACTTCTAAGTAGCAGCTTACCCCTCTTAGCTTCTTGTTATCCGGCCAACCATTAGATTCAGCGGCCTTTTCGTAATGGTCTAACCACGCATGTGGGCTTTCTCCGGCTTTTCCCTGGAACCCACGTAGCTTGACTCGTTGGACCTTTTCTTCTCGCTTTTGTTCCTTAATCCTCAGGTCTACTGCGTTGTCAAGGGCATATACTAGCTTCTGCAAAATGCTTAGCTGCTGGGAAAGTTTGTAAGTTATATCAAGATTCATTGCCACTTTTTAAGGATCGTCACAGTGCCGCACAGGTATATTTGTTTATTGACTATTTGGGGTATTAGAAGCGTTCCAAATCTTTGATGGTCGGTTTTCTTGCTGCTCTTTCATCAGGTCGGGTCGTTATACCACGTAAGTGTCTGAAAGGGTAAGGGTAAAATAAAAGAAAGTAAAATTAGGAAGTCGGGTGGTAAAATAAAAAAAAGATTCTAACGAATGGATTTTTTTTTTTTTATAATAGGAATTAGAAAAAGTGTTTTTTAAAGAGAAATGCGTTCGCAAGGAAATATTGGGGGGGTAATGATGCGTCGAATCTCACAATAACCACCAAAATGTGGGAGTGGATAATCTTGGCAAGGCATTTGATTTGACCGAGGTAAGTAATTTCTCTTTATTAATTTTCTTTTGTCACCACTATTTGCTTCCTTTTATTTTAAAGAATAAATGCTAACATTTTATACTTTTTTACAAGGAAAGTTTAAGAACAATTTAGAAACATAATGAAAGGTAAGGGAATTTCTACTACTTTCTGGTGCTATTATCTAATCTAACACTAATTACATCATTATTATTTTGTTACAAGCGCCGGTTTCAGATCTATTTTTACCTTCCTTTTCTTCTCATGATCCCGGGTCGATCGTCGGTCACGTGACCTTAATCACATTACTATTGTTTTTATTCTCCCTCTCACAGTATATATCTTATTTATTGAATATTGTTATAAGTATTCTTATATATTTTGCGACAAATTGTTGGACTTTATCTATTTTCTAAACTATCTAAGATAAAATATATTACCTATTGGTTGGTTTGTTGCCTTTCATACCTTCTATATTATTTATACTAGAGCTTTAATAGTATAGGTAAAGAACTAACTTGTCAGGATATATACCTTTAAGTTTTTATTTGCTATTTAATAAACAAGAACTTAGAAGACTATTTAAAAATAATCAGTTGCAAACTAGTTATATCTCATTATATTCTATAGGCCGTTTATTCGAAATTAAAAAAGTAAAAATGGAAGTATATATACTTGTTTATATATAAATATCAATAATAATCTGCAGAAAAACCTTTATAAAACTTGTAAAACATATTTGTAAAATTACAAAGGGGAAAAAACTACTTATTGTTCTAAAGAAACTCCCATTTTATATACTATTGTGATTTTTATATTAATTTATAATTAGTCCATACTCTTTATACCTTTTTGTTAATTTTTATCTAATTTGAAAATTTTTTAATTAAGATTTAGTTATTTTCTTTCTGTTTCAAGTGAAATGCTATCATTGCTATCTATTATAGTCAGATAAAGTTCAATTATAAAATATTCAATTCTAACTAAACAAGAAATTGAATACTGTATTACAAGTAAAGTTCATAAAGAAGAGTGAAGAATATTGGTCTTTATTTTCATTTATGATTATATATTTTATCATATTAACATTGTTATTGTATTTTGTTAACTTATATTTTTTAGTTATATGAGAAATATTACTCAACTTTTTATTATTAAGAAGCTAACACAAATCCCATTGGTACTTTCAGTTTGCTATTTAAGACAATTTGTTTAAGAATAAAAAAAGCTGTTTTCAGCTTTATAGCTTCTTTATTAGCAAGAACTATATTTTTAGAGAAAGTATAGTTTAGTACTGTTAATTAGTGTATTTGTGAATTCTTTAATGGAAGTTTTCTTTCAAAAAAGAAAAAACTTCCTAAAAAATAAATTTTTAAAGAATATGTGATAAATGGGAAAGAGTTTTTTTGTAATAAAAAATATTATTTATTTTATAATATATATTTCAGTATATACAAATCAAATAAAAAAATAATATTTACTTATAAGAAAAATTTATCCAAAAATATTAAATAAAAATATATATTAATTTAATAATATAATAAATATAAGGCAAATATACTGTATATATTTTTAAAACTAATTATATTATATATATAAATAGTTTCTTAATTATTGCTAATTAATAAGACAAATATATATATTGAAATTAATAATAAACAAATAAATAAAATAATATTAAAATAAACAAATTATATATAATATATCAAATAATATATTAGTAATTAATTATATTTATTTAATTAAAAGTATTAATATTATAATAAATAAATAATAAAGTATTTAAAAATACTTAAATAATTATAATTGTATATTAAATAATTTAAAATTTTTTAAAAAAATTTTAAAAGCAATTAATATAATAGAAATAATTTTTGATTAAAGTTTATTTAAGTTTGAAAATTTTATTTATTTTTTAATTATATAAAAAATTTAATAACAATATTTTTTTATTCTTTTGTTATTTTATATTTTATTTTATATTTTATTTTTTTTTTTTAAAATTAAACGACATTAGATACAAATTCTTTATTGATAACAATGTATTCATTATATCAAGAATCCTTTGTAATACATGACTACAACTAAACACTAGCCTATCAACTTTTTATTCATCTGATACCCAGAAGCCTATCACTTAATGACCTTTCCTTGTGATACCAGGGGGCTATAGGGGGTAGAAATCCTATCGCTAGTTTTAAACTACCTAACCTATAGGACTTATATGCTTATGAGGGGCTTATACTGTTAATTATCTTATATAGATTACCTTTCACATCACACCTCTCTCAATCCA